GTAAATTCAATTCCCTGCGAATTAATACAGCGTCCTCATCTACAGGATCCTCTATGAATGGACACGCCATTTTGGTCTCTGCATGACGGAAACGTGTGCAATCTATGAATGTACTGAAGGATTAAATGAGGTATTAAACACCTTTCACTTTAAAAAGGGGCGGAGACCCGGAGGAAACTCTGAGTTTCCCGAATAAAACCTGCTCCCGACCAGGTTAGGTTCACAGAGTAAGTTGCCGTAGTAACTGACTCTGAGTTTAGATTACCTCTCTTTGTGAAACGGGTTTAACTTACCCCGTTTTCACGGGTTTAAGTTACCTCCGTTTCTGAAACCGAAAACTCAGAGTTGCCCTCATTTCGGGGTTAACAAACTCTGAGTTTCGACAAAACCGCCTTCTTGAAATAGGCCCCTGGTGTATTATGGACCCTGTTATGTTATGTTTTTATTCCATTAAACCACCTTTTTCTACTAGCACCTGGGTCAGCCATCTTGAGTCCAACCCCAGTTCTCCCTCACCCTCCTGGTGAGGGGGACTAAACCATAACAATGTTTCAGTGAAAATACGGTTTATTTTAAGGGGATAAAATTGACCTATAAACTGCTGGACTGAAATAAGGAAGATTTATTTTAAAAAAAATTCCACTCTGAAATTTCAGGTTTTGGCTTTTCAAAATAAAGGAATACTGCTAGTAGAGGGAGACAGGGCACATACTACTGACAACCCCAGCAGATTATGAAGGAGAAACACTGCACTTGTGCAGTTTAGGACAACAGAGCTTTTTAAAATAATATTCTCAGATGCGTTGCTCAACCCTGCCACTTCTATTACATGGTGAGTTTTAAAGCAAAGAGGAAACGGCACCACTCGCATAAAGATTATTATAAAGATGATGCAAGGCAATGTTTTATTGTTGGCTTAAGTGTAATATTAGAACATAACTCACTGATTTCTGTCTCGGGTATTGTTCAATGAACTGTGCAGAGCCAAAAATGTGGCATTAAAATTAATGACAATTATTTTTGGCATTACAAAAATTAATACAACCCTAATTATCAGACTTGCACTGAAGTCTACAAGTAGTCAAATATTAGGGCTTTCTCTAGGTTTATGATTCAACAGAAAGTGTCAATATAGACAACAAATGATAGGCTGCATATCCTGAGTGAAGGCAACATCTTTTCTAATAAGAAAACACTTCAAATGCTTATAACGGAGCCATAGACAGAGCTTCTGCTTTTCATTAGTGGACAGACAAAATGTCTTACTACAGTTCTGGGGAAAGGGCAGCAGTATTGCGACCACAGGGCACCATGGACCCTCTCATTGTTTTTTGCATCCTGATTCTCATATCTGTGCAGTCTGTCTCGGTCTGACTTTCTTTGAGCGGCCCACATGCTACATCTACTACAATCTGACAATCTAACAAGCAATAACTAACCCTTTAAACAAATACCTCACCGGTACTACTGTATCTACAGCTTTTGGACTTAAGAGCCTTGTCACTGAAAAGTGCTGTTATTGTACATGTTCTTGCACAGGTGTACACCAAGCAGTAAATTATCAACTGATTCTGGATCTGTTTGTTTTTTTTATCTTTTTGTGTCAAGACTGATAGATATGTTGAAGATTAACATTATCGGTCTCTCTATACAGTTTATTAAGCACTTTGTAACTTTGTTTTCAAATGTGCTACATATATTAAACTGCCATAACCTTTTACAGTGTCTGAAGTAAACAAGAGTCAAAGGCCCATGCCTTGTTGGCTTAAGTCTCTGTATGGGGATTTTTGACTATACTCTTAATAAAGACAATGACCAACTTTATCCTTTAAGAAATACACCTTTCTTGCTACAGTTAGTCATAATTAAACAATATCTCAGGGTTGGGAAATACTTTTGTATAAAGTTGACTGATAACAATTATGATTTATTTCTATTGATCCCTGCAGGGAAATCTCTCTAGAGGTTTACCAGTCAGGATCGGCTATAGATGCCTCTGGACCTGGTATGATAAGCATTTAGTGTCTCACTGACATGATGGTTCAACCTTACACTGTGTGAGATGGTCAGATGCTCACTACTCTCCAGCCTGCTGCTTAGATGTCTTTTTGAAACTGCATTTGGGTTCCTTCTCTCCAGGGTGCAGCTGTTATTCCCATCAGTTTCCCTCTGATATAAACACAGTGTACACTCACGCTGTCTGGAAAGCAACTTATAGAACACGACAGAACTGTCTTCAGCGGCTGTGGCTCAGGAGGTAGAGCGGGTCGTTTCCTAACTGGAGGATCAGCAGTTCGATTCCCGGCTTGTCCAGCCAACATGTCGAGATGTCCTTGAGCAAGACACTAAACCCCCAGTTGCTCCCGGTGATGTCACCGGTGTGTGAATTTGGGAGTGCGAATGGGTGAATGGCCGAATAATGTGAAAGCGCTTTTGAGTGTGCTGTAAAAGCATAGAAAGGCGCTATACAAGTATAAGACCATTTACCATTTACTTTAGTTCAGTGCCTTCAGAATCGAGTCTCAGAGCTGCCTCTCTTCAGTGTGCTTCTGTTAAGCTCGTCATACTCAAAGCTAAGATTATTATGTGACCTCGATATCATTAGCAGCTTCTCGCGCTTGCTGTAGTCTCGCCTCACTGTCACACATGGTGACACATCCAACAAACGTTCGCCTTGCTCTTCCCTGTTCTCCAGCCGCATGTAGCCTTTACTGCTGCCCCGTGTGCTGCTGTGACTGCGGCTGCTATTGCTACGGTCAAGGCGGGGCCAGCTGGGGTGTTTCCTCTGCTCCGGGTGCACACTGAGCATGCTTGGCCCACGCTCCAGGTCCAGAGATTTGGAGTGGCTGCCGAGTACGTGCAGGGAGGAGTTGGAGCCAAAGTCACTTCTTGCTGCTCCTGGGGAGAGCCAGCAGCCTGAGGTAGAGGAGGGAGCAGGGGAGAGAGAAGAAGAAGAGATGGAGGAACAGTGGGAGGAAGAGGAAGCAGAGTTACTCCGGTGTAAGCCTGGTGGTTTAGAGGCCTTGGCAACAGATGCTACAGGGACCACCAGAGACTCTATGGAGCTCAGAGGCTGCGACCTTTCTCCGTCTCTTCTCTCTCCTCTTCTGTCCTCCTCTGTAATTGCCTCCATCTCTGGTTCATCAATAACACAGTTGTTGAGTTTTATAACAGGGAGAGTAAATGCAGAGATAGAGGAGGAGACGATAGAACGCGCATGGTGGCCTGCCTTGTCCCCATCTCTGTCCACTTTCCACTGTTGGTGCACTGAATCTGAGTGAGCCAACCTGAGCCCCGGGCCACAGAAGGGGCGATCCTTGTAGAGCGGCGCCAGCAGCCCCACAAAGCTGCAGTCCAATTTAGACTTGTGTCTGTGAAACTCCCCATCCCCTAACAGCACCTCCTCCTCCTCTTTAGAGCCTCCTCCCCCTCCAATGCCACCTCCGGCCCGAGAGGAAAAGGCCAGGAGCGAGTTGCTGGCTAGCCTCACTGCACTGTCAGCTCCAAAGGCTTGAAGATCCCCAACCTCTCTTGCATAGGTGCTGCTGCGGTGATGGTGTTGTTTTTGCTCTCTTTGCCTGAGGCGATGGATGTCAATGACTGTGGAGTACATGTCTCTCATATGGATTATCTAGCACAGAAAATGAATATATATTATTAGTAATAGCAGTGGCATGCATCTTTGGAGTACCTGGCAATATGTTTAATATTCCATTATAACCTATGATTATTCTATAGTTTTAAAAGAGTGTGTATCTATATTGGATGTTTGTGACCTTGGACTGCATGTTTCTCACATCGAATACCTGGAAGGAGGAAGGGAGGAGGGGAGGATTAATCAACAAAGGGAAGGAGAGGTGATAAGAGCAGAGGAAAATTGCAGAGATAAGGGTGATAGGAGGTTGGAAGAAATCTGATCTGCCTGCTTGTTATGTAGAGATGATGAATATGAATGACTGCAGCACGCACGTCACTCACTTTATAGAGACTGGGGGAAGACCATAAGTGACAGTATGGGAAAAGGGAAGAAATATTAATTATTACCTTCTACTGATTTGGGTTTTGTGTTGTAGAACTGAAATATTTGTTTGAAATAATCCTTCAGAATCTTTTCTAGAACCAGTTCCTGCACAAAATGGTGTTAGGTGACCAACAAAGTCCATGGATATGTTTAGTATTTGACTTCTCCTGCTCTACATGGAGGCATGTTCTGGTATGTGTGTGTGTGGATCTGCTGATTTCTACCTTACCTTCGTTTCTCTGTCTCTGTTTTCATGAAGTATGGCATTAGCACAGATGAAGATGAAAATCCCAATGCCCATGGTGAAGGGCCCGAGCATCTTCATCCGCTCAGAGTGACGATGCTGTTCCAGGAACCGCATCAAAGCCCCCCCAGTTTCCTCGGAGGACGTACCTACATGCAGAGCACATGGAGTCTATGAGCCAGTTACTATTAGGAAGACAGATCAGCTTGACCGGTAATCACCCTGCTCTGTCTTTACCTTGCACATTATGACTCATGCTGGAGTTAACCACTTCGCCTTCTGTGACGCCTATCTGGGCTCGATTTTCTTCACTTGTGGAAGATGTTTTGGGTTCTCCAGTAGTTGCTGATTTAAAACCTTCTCTGCTCGATGGTTTGTTTGTGGGCATGATTTCACTGTGTGGCCAGTAACCAAGCGTCGCCATGCCAATGCCTATGGCCAAGACAACCAGCCCCAGGAGGAGGAAGAACCCCGAGGCAGAGTAGAGCCGGAGCCTTCCACGTACCACCACCACATCAGTACGTCGCTTCCTCTTTCTAAATGAAGTATGGAAAACACACACACACACAGATTGTTTTTGTGAATAATCCATTCTGGGTATTTGTAACATTAAATCCAGTTGTACTCATGAATCACTAATAAATTAAGCTATTTTGTTTCCTGTCACCCTGTATAGTTAATAAAAAAAAGTCAAGTTACAATCACAATCTTAGCAGTTAGCAACCTTTGTATTAATATTGAATTTATGAGGACGATCACCTGGGAGCAGCCCCTGGGGCAGGGTTTCCCAGGCCTGAGGATGCAGAAGCTACAGGCCGGTGCTGAGAGTGGGCGGAGTCTTGGCGTTTTAGCTTGGCCAAGCCTGTTAGCACACCTGCCGCTGCAGTCATACTTATCCTGCAGACACACATTAATTATGAGCTTAACAAGTGCTCCTTGTCCAGTATCTGGTGTGTGTATGCCACAGGTCAATGGGGGACCACTGATGCAGAGCACATACACGCATACATGCACATGAAGAAAAAATGTTATCGACAACCATATTTAAGAACAGGTGTAAGTATGCACATATGTATTTCAGCATAGCTAAAGTCTCCCAGATGCTCTGAACATAGGTGTAAAATACTTAATATTCAGAGCAGTATCTGCCATAATCATACAGCCTGAACCAGCTCCAGTCATCACAGCTCTGTTTATCTGATTTTATGCAGGAGTGTCACTTCACATACAGATTTTTACAAAGCTGCAGGTGACAAGTGTTTTACACATTTACAGAAAAGTGTTTCAGACCTTTGCCATCATGCCAAGTTTGAGAAAAGCTGTTTACATTCTAGCAGTAATACACAAAACAGTGTACGGTAATCTCTTCTGACAGGGCTGTGCATGTGTGTGGGTTTCTGAATGCTGTATATAGTCATCAGTTTATTCCAGAGGGATATTTGTTTATTGCTGATACTCTGATACTAAGGAAACAGGATAATCAAAAGGACAGAAACAGAGTGAACATACAGAGAAACACGTTCTTTCATACACTGTAATTTAATCTACATCCTGCATTTATTGGATTTGCATTTTTGTTGCAGCTATTTTTGCCTTTATTTATGTTGTTGTTGCAGTAATAACATTAGAAACACAGAGCTGCATTTCTGACATAATTTTCCAATGAATCACAGTCTCTGCTGCTCAGATGTCTACTAATAGTGAGGCAAAGGAACAGGGCTTAAAACAAATACAAGCTCATTCAGCAGCATTCATCTGGGCCTTAAATGCCTTTTAATCTGGGCTCCCATGAACATTAGCATCGTCCTGTCTAGCACTAAGAGGATTAAACTGATTATATTTCATGTTCAATAACAAAGGTGAATGGACATTTCAAGTACTCTGCTTTGTATCAAATTGTGGCAATACAGTAATTTTGTAGCTACAGGTTGACTGTTTTTGTTGGGTGCCATGTTGATACCTCTGCTCCACAACTTTACATTTTTGAATGAAAATATAAACCAGGTAACATGACATTAGCAGGGAGATGATCCCCATCTGGTGAGGGTCAGCTGACACAGCTGTGGAGCAGCACAGTAGTGATGAATCACAGCTTCTGCTTTGATTCTGTTGGGCTGCAGCTGTGACGTGATTACTTCTGTTACATGACAGTTACTTAAAATGGGACTGTGATGCATTATTAGGATGCATGGCAACTGTTTCATTTGTAGTGTGATTTTTATGTGATTGTACTGCATTAGTTTCAGTTAAAATGTGATAGTGATGCATCATTGTAGCCTAGAACGCAGCTCAGTTGTATTTCTTCCTGTATTAGTATAATCAGTGTTGGGGAGTAACTAGTTACATGTAATTAATTTATAAAATAAATGTAATTGTAATCAGTTACTGAGAAAAAATATGGAATTAAAATCAAAATCAAAATATTGGAGATTACAAAGGGGTTACATCTGAATATATTCTTTTTGGTAAAAAGTTTATATGCATATTTTTTGGGGCATATTATCCTTTATTTATTAAAGTGTATTTAATTGGTTAGCTGTTTTTTGTACAGTACCAGTTTGTGTTTGTGTGTGCGCACATCTGTGCACTGTCTCCCAGTCCGTCTCCCAGTGCATTCTGGTTGCGACTGAATCATTTTTTCCTTCCTGCACTTTCTATCTACCCCAACTTATGTTCTTATCTCATCTCTCTCTGTTTGTCTTTCTCCTCCCCCCACCAGCTGTCCTCTTGCATCTATTTTTAATCTGGCTCTAATTTTAATTTTCTTTACTTTGGTCACTTTCCTGTTTCTCCCCTTCCTTTCCTTTCTTTTCTTCTACACACAGTATCTCAAAGCAGCAAAATCTGCTTTAAGATTTAAAGTAATGCAAAGCTTTTAGTATTCAAATGAACTGTGAATCACACAGAAGACCAGGTGTTCTCTCCTCCTACCCTCTTTTTACCTTCTCCAAATTGTATCTTTTGTCCTAATGGTAATACTGCTGTAGGAAAGTGCTTTACCACAGATGGTGAATCACACAAGGCTCTTCTCGGGTTTTTCTGCGCTCCCTCACACTCAGTCTCTCTCTGCTTGATTCTGTCCTTTCGCTTCTTAGTGTGAGTCAAACAAGATCCCACACAATGTTTCAAGAACAGGGGGAGAGATTTCCTGTTTATTGAAAGTGGAGAAATGGATGGGAGTACAGAAGCCTAGAAGAAAGGGGTGATTAAAAAAATTTAAAAGCAGAGATAGAAAGCACATTATATCAGAACAGGGTGCACCACTGAACCAGGACTGGAGGGCAGTGTCCTGCCAGTGATGACAGAGCATAGAAAAAAAAAAAAACAAGCCCAGTGCATCTGTAGTTTTAACAAGTAAGAATCAACCAACACAGAGAGAAGGAAGAGCTGTCGCAGCCAACACACCGGCAACCTAACAAGAAACCACTCAAGCTCTGCACACAAGGCTTTCTACTGTACAGACTGTACAATGACGAACTGTATACACGAGGAAATCCTTCAGTGTGTTGGGTTTTTGTCTTAAGAGAGACATTTTGCTCTGTCTTCTGCAACAGTATTTTCTTTTTCTGGTGAATTTATCAAACAGTAGCCATACGCAGACTGTATGAATATTTCATGTTCAATTTTTTTTTACCTCCTTTCACATAAAATTTATGAATAATGTGTAATCCACTGCCCAGTTTTCCATTTTACTGCAGTTTTCTAGATTAGTGTTAAGTGAATGAATTGGCCTCACTTTGACCACCTTAATAATGACTAAATTGCTTATGCTGTTTATTTGTGCACACTCAAAGTATAGCAAGAGAACAACCTAATATGCCTCACAAACATTTAAACATTTAAAGATGCTCTTTCAGTACATTTTAAAAATGTTCCCACTACATCATCCAGTCTCTCTCAGAGCAGAGAGCTCCCCATCTACTGTAAACAAAAGGGACATTTCCCATATGTCATTTTGAGTTATTATTTTATTTCTATGTGCAGATATAAGACAAAAATATACCTTTTATATACTGTAGTATATTGGAGTAGATTTGGAGGGATTGGATAGAGACATAAGGGAATTGGCAAGTGGGTTGAAATGCAGGGATGAGGTAGTGGAAAAAGATACGCCAGGGATGAAGAGAGAGGGTGAGAGCAACCGAGAGTTTGGTGTGAAAGGTGCTTGCCAAAAAACCCTGCATTTTTGCTTTCAACATTTACATGTACGTGTTAGCATCATGGTGTTAATTATATCTTGTTTATGCAAATTGTGCTACAATCCTACAAATGTGTCTTTGATTCCACACATTATGGAGAAAACCATTAGCAGAGTGTCAGAGGAAAGAAAGAGAACGAAGCAGGTGGGATAGGCTGAGGAGAGGAGAGGAGACATGGGGGGAGCAAAGATGCAAGAAATGAGGAGCAGAAGAAGAAGATAGCCAGAGGGGGAAGACAGAGAGAAACAGAATGGAGGAGGTAGTTTTATCTAATGTAACAAACTCCAGAGACTTGAAGCATGCTGAGGAAAAGTTTGTCCCAAATGAATCTCTTCAGTGAATTCTATGCTAAGACATCATGGAAAAAGACATCATATGAACACAGACGAGATAAAAAGGAAGCACTAAGGAGCTGTAATGACAGAGGAATGTGCATGAAGATAAAGATGGAGCCTGGTAGGGAGATTAAAACTGACACCCATTGCTTTTTGTCCAATAAACTTCACTGGTCTGATTAACTGAGGCCAAATAGCTCAAGTAAATGTGAAAGAAAGCAACAGTACTGATTACTATCTCAGTCTCTGTGGTGTGTTTTTTGGTTCTAAAATCTGAGATTTGGGAACTGTTCAGAATACCAAGAAGCTTTTTACTTTCAGTTCTTTTGCAAAACCTTCTGGAAATTTCAAACCTGCATGAGTCAAGAGCAAAAGTGCAGTGAACACTGGATCTTTCTACAGAATATTCTTGACACAGTTTTGAACTTGAAATGCTGAAATAAAAAAGACTGTCAGGCATTTCAGTCCCTCGGTCAAACTTAAGTACCTCATTTCAAAGTACACCTACAGTATGCCACAGTTGAGCACAGTGCTACAAAAGCAAAGGAGCATGTTCATGGACTGATTTCATTTGATAAGAATAAAGTCTGTGCAGTGGTTGGCATTTATTTTCAGGCTAATCCAGTAACATTTCAAAACACACCTGACTTATTCAGGGGAGTAGCTGCCATACATCTGGCTGTGTGTCACTTCAAGTAAAGCCAAATAAATAATAGCACAGAAAAGTACGTTATAATACAATACATACTCTAGTATATGCCAGAATAGTGGCGTAACTGACTAGGGGCAGATGTATTTTTACGCCTGTGCTCAAGGAATACCCTGTTGGGTTTTCTTATTTTAGCCCATTCCCACTGAACACAGGCATGCCAGGGACATCTAACTGAGGTCGGTGTCAGACGGTGAAGAAGCGGTCCCCTGAGTAGCCAGAAGGAAAGATTTGTTAGATCTTTTTGGAAGTTTTGTGAACACTCAGTTTGAACATCCATCAGATGTCTAGACAAGGTTCAAAATAAGTTTATAGAATGTCTTTTTTGGACGTCCTCTGTATGTCCAAAACATATGCCAGTTTCTTGAGTCAGTATACTGTGCATCCAAAACAAACTCACAACACTGGCATATGCTTTGGACTTGCTTTGGATCGTGGCCTCCAGTGTAGGTCCCCAAAAGATGTAAAGATACAAAAGCTATGCTGGGTGTCGGTGGATGTCTAAATTTAGTCTGGTTTCTAAGTCTAATTTTGAACATCTGAAGACATTTAAAACAGTTTCAAGGCTCACAAACATTCAAAAAAAGGACTTGACCAACCGAGGTGATATAGATGTGACATGCATGTCTCTCCAAGACCAGGTGTTGATGGGTT